ATTTTTAACCCTTGGGCTGACTCATTAGCTGCTCGCCGGCTGCTTGGCCCGGCCCCAGTAAATTGCACTTAAAACGCTAAAAATTATATGACACACGCCGCCGCTGCTGATCTCTATCTGTATCTATGTATCTGTATCTATGTATCTGTATCTGTGTATCTGCAGCGCTTGCGGCGTGTGTGTATCTAACAGCTTAAGCATTCAGGACAACCCTCGTACCCAGGGGCTGCTGCTCATTTCGGGCATATGCAAATGGCTTTAGGAAACTTATCCACAGAGCGACCGCCATTTTTGAAATAAACTTTTAAACTATCAAACGCCGCTGCTGCTGTTGTTGGTGGTGCTGCTGTTGGTGGTGCTGGTGGTGGTGGTGGCTGCCACAGGAACTCTCGAACCGGTTTCGATTTGATTAATGCCGCGAGTAGCCCAAAAAACAAAAAAAAAAAAAATTAAATTTAAAAAAAAAAAAGGCAAAAAACAACAACAAAAATTGAGCCGAAAATGCTCGTTTCTAGTATCTTTGACTCGAATGCATTTTGGCAATTAAAATGTTCTTGTTGTCAGGGGGTATCGAAAACCTTAAACCACTTTAAAGTGCACAAAAAAAGGTTTGTTCACGTGAGTAACAGACATTGGCAGACATATACGAACATATGGAGCATTTACCTGAGGGAAAAGGTATTTCTACATTCGTATTCCCAGCTCTTTTTGTCGCGGCATATATACAGCAATATCATATGCAGACATAACTGAAGAACTATAGTGTATTTCTAATTCCACATTAGGTACACTAGCATCTAAGCAACTCCTGGCTCTTATTCCAAAATTTCAGCCCAATCGTTTAGTAAACACCCGAGTTATGCCATGTATAAACTTTGTATTACAGCGTATCTGTTAGTCGATCAGACGCGGCCAGTGCATTTTTACAAGTCCGTCAGCGAAAATCAACAACAGTTTTTGCTTAGTCAAATGAGAGCAGCTTCTTTTTACCAAATTAATGGGTCAAGTTTATAGATTGCATTGCGACCGGGTTTTTGTTTAGTTTTGTCTCTCTATATATATGTATATATATATATATATTTTTTTTTGTTTTCTTTTGTTGCTTTGCAATCGAAAATACGGAAATAATTTTTGGTGCTTGAGCTTGCGCTAGTTCTATTTGGATGCATATATAACTATATGCTTGATTTTGTATGGGTATATGGTATAATAATTTCTGTTAATCTGGCAATTTGCGGTCAGAGTTGTTGTTAAGAATTGGTGCCAATTTTTATATGGCGCACGTACTTGAAAGCCAAACTGTGATGAAAAGAGCAACACCAGTTAAGAGAGAGAGAGAGAGAGAGAGAGAGTGAGAAAGAGAGAGGGAGCCAGTGTGAGACATAGAGAAAGGGTGGGGTAGCGCAATTTGGACAGCTGTCGATGTTGTTGTTGTTGTTGCTGTTGTTGCTGTTGCTGTTAACTTGGTTTTATTTGCTTTCGGCCGTCTGTTAATTATTTAATGAACTTCTATATTTGGCCTTACAAATGAATATGTTTAAATGATGTCTCTGGTTACTCGCGTTCAGCGCGTTATTTATGATTACACAATTTGGCTTGTCAATGGCATTTATGGGCCCAGATTTTCGTCTACTTTTGGCAACTTATCGCCGATAAGCCCAATTTATATAAAGATGTATCTCTTGAATACACGATGAGATCACTCGACGGCGCACTTCAAATTCAATTTCGAGTCCGACTCCGACTCCGACTCCGACTCGGACTCGACATCATTATAGATCAGAACTGAAATCGATCTGTGTCTAATTGCCATACACATCATAATTTGTTCTCTTTTCAGCGAAGACGCTTCAGACAATTTGCCAGGTTACTTAGTTGGCTTGTTATTTGGAGTTTTTATTTTACACTCGCCTCCCATTAATAACAAATCAAATGCTCGTTAAGAGCGCGCTTCGCTCCAAAATTCTGCGAATCGATCTCCAAACGAAAAACTAACGAAAACGCAAACGTTTTCAAAAACTTTTGTATACTCTTCGAGCACTTTGCAGCTACAAAGTATTTTATTTGTTTAATATCTAGCTTTGTATTTTGACTTAATCATTCCACAATTGGATAAGCTCTTTCTGTGTACTCCATTCAGAGGTAAGTTGACAATCTGGGGCCTTGTTTCTATATCTATTTCTATATCTGTTTATGTATCTTATCATATGGCTAACTTTTCTAAGATACATCAGACTGCTGGAAATTCTGCTGATGAGATCTTCTAATTTATTTCAGCTCATTTTAAATGTTTCTGAAGTCGCTTCAAGATTATGTTCGCATATTAAAAGAACGACTCCTTGATGAAATATTCTAATTAAAAAATCTAAACAATAAATAGAAGTTATTATGTGCATTATATATACTATCAATGTCTTTTTATATCTTTTAGAACTTGAGTAATCTTTTATACGAAATTCAACCTGAAACTCTGAAGCTCGGTCTAGGGTATTACTTATTGTTACACTAATTTTTGTTCTTCTTTTGCTTAGGCTCGTTTGCTTGCTCCTTAATACACACAATTACAATTGGAGAGTAACTGCCAGTCAATAGATGTACTAGTTTGTGTATCTGTGTGTTGCTCTTTCGATTTTGTGGCCATATTTGCTTGTGGCATGCCGCAAACGGGGCGTGGCCGCAAATTGGTTTTGCTTATTTAAGTTTTATTGATTGCCTCGCTGCTGCTGGCTGCACTTTGCACTAATTGCAGATCCACAGATCAACAGATCTGTTAAACTCCAATCCCAGATGTAGCTGGCCACATACATACATCAGCTGTGTGTGTATGCATATGTGTGTGTGTGTGTGCATCTGTATTTACATAAATATTTTTGTTTGTATTGAATTTCATGCATGCATGCAAAAAATGTTCCGACGGCAAAACCAAGAAAAACATCTAGGAATAAATTCTACTACATGATATAAATATATATATATATATATATATATATATATACATATATATTTATAGGCAGAATATAATAGATAACTAACGAGATATATCTACTAATTGTATATCCAATATATACAAATAAATAAATATACATTTTTATATTTGTTTTGTGGATTTATGTTTGTGGATTTAGTTGCCGTCAATGTTAATTAATTGCAAAGATATTTTCTAAGAATTTCTTTTGATGCTTCTTCTTGCAATCGCTTTTGTTGTTTTATTGTTGCATTCTGCGAATGTTCTGTAGCATGAGGATAACGTAAGGGAGGTGGGGGGTACAACATTTGCGAGCTGCAGCTGGCTAAAGATTTTTATTCGATTTGTTGCTGCATCCAATTAGAAGGCAGACAAACTCCAATTAAGATATAGATATAGATATAGTTACAGTTATAGATAGATAGATATATAGATGGTTGGCTGGATGGATGGATGGATGTCTGCTGTGTCTGCTGTGTCTGCTACTTGTTGTTGGGCTAGCGGAGTTGCAAGTTTGGCATTTGGCCAAAATTGTCGTCTGGCTGTGGCGATTCATAATCATCATGTTCTTGATGACGATGATGACGATGCTGATGTTGAGGAGGACTCTGGGCCAGAGCTGAGCGCAAATATGTGTGCTGATCTGGTGTGCGTGCTGCCCATTAAGTTGTAGCACAACGATCAGCTAAAGTTCGACAAATGCTAAAATAGGCTAAAGACGCGGCCCAGAAGCAATTCTTCAAAACAATTTGAAAGCAATTCAAGCTTCAAATCGCACGGCTATTAGTTATTATTATGTTTGCAGTTGTTGCAGTTGTTGTTGTTGTTACATTTTGTAAACAAATTTTCAGAAATCAATAAAAACAATTGGCACAGACACGCAAACTCAATTAGTTGCAAATGAATTACACAAAAACACACAAAAACCAACATCAAAATGAAGAAGAAAAAAAAATTGCATTGCATATCATTTTCATATTGTTGTTTGTTTACAGTTAAGTGTGGGAGCTTTTTACGTGTTTTCCTTTTATTTTCATTTATTTAGCTTTTAATATTGTTTGGCCAATTTAGCTGGGAAACTGCTGAAATTATGTCACAGCGGCTTAAGAGCTGACTTTTTCAGTAGAAACAAAAGCCAAATGCGACAAAGTCAAGATTTGCATATCGGAAAAGTAGCTAATATTTTTCAGGAATATTATTATAATATAATAATAATCTCTATAATATACAAAGAACTAAACGAGTTAATACTGTTATGCAAATGATAAAAAAAACTTTGAGCTAGTTTTCTTAGTTTTTTCTTTTCAAATAATATAATCAGTGAGCAGAGGCAGAATTCTTTAAGACTAGATCTCGGATGCAAGAGCTTTTCCAATCAATCCGACTTGAGTCTCGAATTGTTTTTAATCATACAATTATATGAATCATAATTTTGTATTAAACAACTTTTACAATATGTTCATATTCAAACGCTTTGATATGTAGATGTCGTATAAAAATACGATCCATGCCTTTTCCAATCGAAATACAACTGAATACTACATGGAAAAGCCTTAAGCTTGATTGTTCTTAGATAGACTCTATGTTCATGTAGGATTATTCCGAATAGTTATCTACCAAGTGACCAAGTGTATTCTGGGAAACTGGCATTAAACTGACTCAAATTGGTTCTAGGAAAATCAAATAGAATGCAAAACAGAATTTATCAAAAGAAGCACATACTTTATATATATATATATATATATAGATATATGTGTTGCTTTCTCTCTCTCTCTCTCCTTGCATCTTCCTTATGCAAATGGGGAAATAATATATATAGATAGGCACATATATGACTTTTACAACACTCTCACACTGTGCCGGCCAATAAGCATGTTTCTTAAAACGTTTTGCAACACTGCTTGCAGCAATCGCTTTGATGTGCACTATAAATTTGTTGCTGCTCGAACTGAGCTCTGACTGTTTTGCACTTTCTTTTCAAGGGGAATATTTGTTCGGTGAACTCTTGACACTTGTGTAGACTGATGGGGCTTACCTGTTGCCAAAATTGTGCCAATAAATAAATTTGCTCCTTTTTGAAAAACCAATCGTTGATTGATTGAACAGCCGTCAGATCCATATCGGCTGTCCCAGCGGCTTGTGGCAATGTTGGCTGCATTCGTGGGCTGTCTTTGGATTTGTGCGATTCTCTTGAGTTGTTTGTTTTTTGTTGTTTGTTGTTGTTGTTGTTGTTGTTGTTGTTGTTGTTGTTATCGCTGCTGCTGCTGCTGCTGCTGCGCCGTGTGCTGCGGCATTTGTTGAGGCATTGAGAACAGCCTCGCAACAACAAACAAAAACAATTGTTTTGGCCCTCTTTTTTTTAGTAAAATTAACTTTTTGCTCTTTTGTTAGTTTTAGTTAATTATTTGCAGCAATAAGACACACGCACACATACACAGTTAAACACACGGACACACAATGCAAACACTCTCTTGTTGTTGTTGTTGTTTTGTTGCAATGCTGCTTCTTGTTTTGCTTAGATGCTTTTTTACGTGCTCAAAAAAATTCATCAAATTTTCGAAAATTTTTCTCTTGATTTTTGTTTGGTTTTGGCCAATTTGTTGTTATCGCTGTTGTTGTTAATATTTGTTGTATTTAACTGATTTATCACACACACAAGCACGCACACATTTTGATTATGTTTGTTGTCGTTGTTGTCGTTGTTGTTGTTGTTGTTGTTTTGGCTGCAACAATTGCGACGGCTTCGTAAGCTGTTGCCATTTGTTGTGTGTGTGTGTGTGAGAGTGTGTGTGTGTGTGTGCAAATGTTAAAGCCAAGTCAAATTCTGATTGGATTTGTTTCGGCCATGAGCCGCGCTTTTAAGCCATTTCTTTGCTTGCTTTTTTTCTGTTGTTTTGATTATTGTTGCAAGTTGTTGTTGCCACTGTTGTCACTGTTGTTGTTGTTGTTGTTGTTGTTGTGGTTGTGGTTGCTGCACTGCTGCTTTATCTTGTTTACACTGGACACACGCGCACACTTCGATTTTTATTTTCATATATATATTATAATATATTTTGTGTATATTTTTTTTGTAGTTGTATTATTTTGTCAAAAAACAATTGTGAAAAAAAATAGCTCAAAAAAAATGTAGTAAAAACAACAGAAAGATAGTTAAATTGATGCTGAATGCATTTGTTGTTTATAAATAATTTAACTTGATTTGTTGTAACTGTTTCGCTTGGTGCTGTTGTTATTGTTGTTGTTGTTGTTGTTGCTGCTGTTGTTATTGTTGCTGTGGCTGATGTGTGATTCGTGATTCGCTATTCGTTCAATTGGTTCGACTCCAGCACGGAAGAGCGTAGACACAGATCTGAGTTACAACAGTCAACAGTCAGTTCACAAACAACACACACACTCGGACACTGGCGGCGGCACACACAGGCGACGTTGCCAGTCACGAATTCAGTTGATGACTGAACAACACTGAACAAGTCGCAGCGTCGACAACCCCAAAAAAAACACACACAGCAAAACAACAAAAAATAATGCACGTCGTATGTCGGTACGCAACGAGCACGAACCGCACACGAACCGAGCGAACGAGCAAACGAGCGAACGAGCGTACGAACGAGCGTGCTTGGCATTGTTTTGCACTCGAACAGACAGACAGAGAGAGAGCGAGGGAGTGAGAGAGCGACACAGAGCGTGAGTAAGCGAGTGAGCGAGCGAGCGAGTGAGCGAGCGTGAGAACGAGAGAGGGCGAGCGCAGAGAGTGAGAGAGTCACTCAATTGGTGACTGCCTCCCGCCTGGCAGTCTGCACGATTTTGATTCTTTCAATAGGTTTTTGATTTTCGTTTGTCTTGCTTGGTTGGGGCTGAGCATTTTTGTGCGCCGTCGCCGGCGTCGACGCTCACATACGACGTATTACAACAACTTGTGCTCAGCTTGTGTTCGTTCTGTTTACTTTTTGCTTGACTTTTTTTTCATTTTATTATTTTTTTTTTTTTGCTGCTGCCTTCAGATAACTTCTGTCAGTTGCATGTATTGAAATTCATTCATTCAAACCAACGGCCCGTTTGTCTCACTCTCTCGCTCTCACTCACTCTCTCACGCTATCTCGCTCAGTCGCTCTAACGTGCTGCATATGTGGCTGTGGCTTGGCATTCAATTTGTAGCTGCGGCGTCGACGTCGCTGTCGCTGCCGCTGCCGTTGCTGTTGCTGTTGCTGCTGCTGCTGCTCCTGGTGCTTGTACCTCTGTCGCCTTTTTTCTGATTGGGAAAAACTTATAGGAAAATGTTGCGCTCACATTTCGTTTCTCGTGCTTGTTTATTGAGCCGCAGATTGAGTGCAAACTCTTTCTGACCGAGTGAGTGTGCTCGAGCGAGCGAGAGCGCGAGTCAGGGGAAATCTTTGAAGCTGTTGCCGGTTGCGTTTATATTATTTCTCTTGTTCTTGTTCTTGTTCTTGTTCTTGTTCTTGCTTATGAATTAAGTTGCCATTTCTTTTCTTCAACATTTGTTATTATTTATTTCTCTTTGTGTCTATTTTTTTTGTCTCTTTGTTTTTGTCTTGTCTTGTTGCAAGCTTATGTCCAAGGTGCTAGCCAGGAGTAGGTGCGCAGGCTGCTCAGGACGAGGCCGAGGTGGACTGGCTGGGCTGCGGATCCTGGCGGATTTTTCGTGTGGCTCATATAATTATTGTGTCTGGTCTTGGCTTTGCGTGTGCGTGTGTGTGTGTGTGTGTGTGTGTGTGTATCTTCGCTTGAAGTGGCCTGCCAAAGGTCAACCTGCTGTGTGGCTGGGGCTAACGATGGTGGGCGGCGGGGCAGGGCGGGGCTATGCTAAGCTCAGCTTTAAGGCAGGTTTAAGCTGCCAGGTAAATATAGAGTGAGTGGGTTGAGGGGGAGGGGGCAAAGCTTACTCAAGATAAAACTCGGGGAATCTATCCGATTCTTTAATGGGGTTTACTTAGCAAAATAAGCTTAATTTAAATTCAATTCTCAGTTGTTAACAGGGTTAAATCTTTGTAATTTGTAATATAAACATAACCTACAATATATATAGAGAATAATACAAAGATTCTCTTTTTCGAATTGAAGTTTCAATCCTGAATATTCTCATTTCTCGGAAAAACAATTTCCAAACGTATAAACCAATATAATGCATATATGTATAATATACATATTTATATTAAAACTTTTAACATTGAAACTTAACAATATTCTCATTATATCTGATGATGTGATGTTTAAAGAAAACCTGATCCTTATCAAAAATAAATGAATTGTCAATTACAACTGTAAATTCTGTTTTAAACTAAGTAAATCCAATGGTCCGTTAGTTAGAGTTCTTACTGTACTTGCATGTTCAGACAATATTCAATATGATATTGCAAATGTCAATGTGAGTTTCTTTATTCGAAATATCGTAAGGTTTGACCTGTGACCCAGCCCAATAAGACGCTCGAACAGGCCGTACTCAGCCCCATCGCCCGCCCACTCACAAGCGTACAATCCGTTAGGGTTTGAAGCGAACCGCTGCTCGGTTCGACTTGCACATAAAGAAAAAGTTCAAATTGTATCGAAGTGCAATGCAGCAGCAGCAGCAGCAGCAGCAGCAGCAGAGGATGCAGCAGCCGAGCAGCCAACGACGACGATGGCAACCTTAACCCAGCGCTCAATGGATGGCGATTGTGCAAGAGGGGGGAATGGAGGCAGGGTGAATGCGCACCTAATGCAAAACAGAGAGCCAGAAGCAGAGGCAGCGGCAGCGGCAGCCGCAGCAGCCGCTAAATGCGTTGCAGCGTACGAGAGACGCGTCGTGCACACAGGCTGAGCCGAGAGGCGCAAGCAGGCAGTCGGTCGAGCGCGGTAGATGAGGCTGCGGGCGAAAGAGTGCGAGAGAGAGAGAGCGAGAGCAGGAGAGAGTGAGAGACAGAGAGGAGAGTTAGGGCAGGCTGCAGCCACCTACACGAAAGCTTCGTACCCGCTGTTCGTGCTAGCGTTGGCGTCGCTGCCGCTGCTGCTGCTGCTGCTGCTGCTGCCGAAACTCATTTCATTTCATTTCATTGCTGTTAGATTTTTTTCCCAACGCTTTGGTTTTTCTTGCTTTCAGCCAACCATTTCTTTTACAGTTGGTCATGTGTGTGTGCGTGCGTGTGTGTGTGTGTGTGTGTGTGTGTGTGGGTATAAAAAGCACACGCGATTGCCAGGCGCGCAGCTTTCTTTCTTTTTGTCGTTCCCTCTCATTTGTGCACATAAGAGCCAAACGCTGATTGACAATCGATGGATGAATGGTTGGGCTGAGTTCGGCTGGGCTGAGTTGGGCTGGGCTGGACTGAGTTGCAACCGAACTGACACCTAGAGCCGCAGCAGCGACGGGGAAACGCCAATGCCACTACTTGCTTCTGCATGCCGCAAACGGCAAACAAAACAAACAAGTGTTTGTTGCAGCAACAGCAACTGCACTACACTCTCGCTCAACAGCGCGCAACTCACTCAAGAGTCGACACACTCAATGTTTGAGTCAATGCCGCTTCCACTCGCACCGCGTCGGAGAAGTTTGAGTTGCAGTTGCAATCGAGCGCAGGGGTCCGCTTGGATGTTCGAAATGTTTTTCGAACTCATTCGAATTGAGTTAATATGTCAAGCCGTATTACCGTGAGAAAGTTGTTATATATTAATTTGATGAAGAATATTTGTTGTTTGAAATAATTGTCGATAATCCTGTTACCGGAAAATTGTTACCCACAAATACATTAACATATGCAAAGGACTCTGTAAATTCAAATTTGAAAACAAAAAAGAAGACCTATTTAATCAAATATCTACATATATAAAGTGCAACCATTTTTATAAAGGAAATGCGTAACAAAATTATGTACTTGAAATAAATAAATTTACACATTGATATTAAAAAATTGTATAATATTTTGAATATATTCAGCAGAACTATTCGAATATACCAAAGAAGTTAACGAAATAATATACTTTTAATAAATTCAGTTGGAAGTCCGAAGACGTTTAAGGATGTCGTGAAAGAGTGCGAGAGAGAGAGAGAGAGAGAGAGAGAGAATGAACGCTTAGAAGAGCGCGGAATGAGAGTGAGGCACGCAAGAGGCGTGACAGAAGGAGAAGTAGATCAATATTGGGCTTATGATAGATCTTATGTATCACCCGGAGCCTCAACTTGGGTTTCAGTTGAATACCGTAAAAACAACAAATTTATTGGGTACTCACGGTTCAGAATTGG